ATATATATATATATATATATATATATATAAATGTATATATGATGGTAACATGCTTGTACCAGATGTGAGTAATAAAGTCAGGAAGATTTGTGAGGGCAATGAGTGGCAGTCAAGTGAAATGCACACTTGACTTCATGCAGGCTCAAAGGTCTGGCGGTTCGCGCCTCGTCGTGGTCACTGCTATTAGGAACCACTTTACCCCAGCTTGCTTCTGTCAACACCTGCTGTAGAAACAGATTTTGATAGCACTAGCGTAAGGCTAACAACCTCTGCTGCATAAAAGACATGCATAAGTAGCTTTGCTCGGATAAGCTTGTTATAGAAACCAACGCAACACAGTCGTGGGTGCTCCCCGAATGTAGCTAAAAGAGCACGATGGAAAAAATCTAGGCGTATGTGATGCATCGACGTCAGTAAAGACGTCATTCGTATTTTAACAAGTACATTGATGAATCATTAATAAATTCAGTTTTGCATTAGTCCATGCCGATGGTAATGAAGCATGATTTATAGAAAGTGCGGTGTGTAACTTCACACGTGCGCCCGATGAGTTGGCTGTTTTTCGTAAACAGAAATTATATTTTATTATATAGATGAATAGATGATGATGAATAGAATATAGATCAGGCGGTGAATAATAGGTATACTATAGGTATGATCAAATGCACATAACTCCTTATATCCTTGTACTCTTGATAAGATGATATAATGATTCTAAGAGCTGCTAAACAGCAGTTACTTTTGTAAGGCAATCTTTTTAAGCGGTCAAATTGAGTAGCAGCGCAAATAAGAGTATTGCCTTAGCAACATCGAATCTAGTAAACGCTCTAATATAATGTTTCTAATAGCTGCTTGTTTGTGTTTTGCACGGTAAACACACCAAAAACTAGTCAAAACAGCGGGAGACGGGGGACGGGAAATTTTGAGAGATCGCGAAGAGACGGTGCGTGCGCGTACGGTAGACGCGCGCCTACTAAATTATTCAGCAGTTCCAGGAAGTACAGCTGCAAAAAAGCCCCCTAAGTATTTGTGGAGCGAGGTTTAAGAATAGATTCGCCTATTAGCGATGACTTGCTGTACATTGGGTTAGGCTGACGCATTGCAAACACACGCGTGTCCGCGCAACACACACTTAACGCGCAAATATACGCAGTTCTAAACTTTTATCTGTGACATCATTTCGCCGATAGCTTGTAACTAATTTCCTGCCGAGCTAATACCTTGCTGTTTCGGGCAACTGTGGACATATTCATCGTTGCAAGCCATTTCCGTGACATCCGATGTTTTATGGGAACGCATGTGGCGTGGGGTACGAGAGCGAATTGCCATCAATACTCTGCCCGGCACTGCCTGAGCTCTAAAGTGAACCGGTTAGCACGTGTCCACCGGCTACATTACCAGCACACTCAATATCTAACTCATAGCTGCCTTGGCTTCACGATTCAGTACCGCTACATAGACAGTTGGCTCAATATCTATTTTATAGCTATCTTGGTTTCAGGGTTCGGTAGCAATACATAGACAGTGGGCTCAATATAAAATTAATAGTTATCTTGGCTTCAAGATTCAATAGCAAAACATAGAGAGGGGGCCTAATGTAAAATTCATAGTTGTCTTGACTTAAATATTAAATACCGCTACATAGACAGTGGGCTCAATATCTAATTCATAGTTATCTTGACTTCACGGTTCATGCAGTACCACTACATAGACAGTGTGCTCAATAGCTAATTCATAGCTAGTTATCTTGGCTTCAGTATTCAGTAGTTGCCATCGCTTCTGTAGCTTCTACTTTTAGCCTCTGGTTCTTCAGCACCTCATCCTGGTGTTAAAATCTCACATTTCCCGCATCGCTAATTTTAGCCGTGGTAAATGGTCCATCATTTTACTGGATAACAGGTGCTTTGGTGTGAGTGGGTGGGGGTTAGTAATCATTCTGGAGCTCACAGTCTGATAAATGTAATGTCAGACACACAGTCTGGCATTTATTTTGACTTTGTTTAACTAGTTGGTTTATTTTTTATTTTTAACGCTATGAGAGATTTTTTTCGAAAAATAGTAGTCGTCAGATGCATAGGCCTACAAATCCATTGTTACGCAAGTAAACACACGCACGGATGCATACACATGTCGAAGTGATCTGGAGTTGTTTGCAATTATTTTGATCCTATTAAAATTGGCAGTTGATTTGGTGAAGCTGAGCCATAACAAGTGAAAAATCACTTGGGCTAAATTTTATATAGTAAGCCTAAAGCTCTCTTCCCCATATGTCTCTGGAAATTTAATAATACACTATGCCTCTTGCTGATATGAATTGACGCGCTGACGCACCACATCTTCATAGTGTTTATCAAATAACGTTACGCATTTTTCATGGAAATAACTTACAAGTTAACCAAGTGACGATTCGTTAGAAAATTGCGCCCCACAAGATTTTCTGACTAAAATAAAGACGGTCATCCTCTGACGGTCATCTCTAGGCGCCGGCGATTCTAATGACATAGATTGCCTCGTCTCCGCTACAGTACGATGTCCCGCGTACCCAATCTGGACGGCACGTGCCCATCTAAGTCTGGCGTGGCAGGCAAAAACGCGCGGGGATCTGCAGGCTGCTCGCTGCTGCGTTAAAATAAAAGCAACTGGAATCCAAGCTGGTGTAACGTATATATGCAGAGACCTAATAAGGCTGGCGGGCCAGCTGCGTGGGGAGTTGTGACTCGTGCACGCGCCAGCCGATAGGGGGCCTACTTGTGTTTCACCTCAGCGCCGAGCAGCCTACCGCAAGCGAGGGCGCCTCCGCGAATGTTTTTCCTATAGAGGGAGACGCGTGCTTCCAATCAGGCCTGCCTTGCCCGCCTGCGAAAAGTGGGCTGCTTGTTGGCTGGTGCGCGTTGCTAGCCAGCTAAGCGTGTAAGGGAAGCAACCTGGCAGGACGGTGAAGTGTTTGCGTGTGTGACGTTGCATAGGACCTGCTTCCAGCTGTGATTACCACTGCACTCTGGATACATTACCTCACTGTGAGGCGCATTTGTTTAAGGATACCTTTGAAGAGCACATGTAAGATCAATGCTTGCACATATATACGTTAACCATTTGCTATTCGTTGCGTGTGTTCTCGTGTTCACCCTTCCTAATGTAGGAAGCCATGCCGACATTACAATGACTGCATGTTCTCTGCTATTCACACCCTTTGTAGATATCTGAATTACACGCTTCCTTTGCCAGAGAATAGCGGGTGTTTGAGTATATTCACCATTAAATGAATGTAATATGGCTTCAGTAGTGATTCTGTTCAACTTGCACATCATGTTGGTTGCAAACGGGTCTTAGGTCCATGAAGCTTTACATAGACGCAACAGCTTTGTTCTCTTTGTACCAATGTCACCAGTAGTGTGGCACCTCTGCAATCCATCTGTGTGAGATAATTATGTAATGGAATTTTGTTGTAGTAACATGTCATCGTCGTCTGTCGGCTCGTTCATCAAATTCCTCTGTATTCTGGGTTATACTTTGAAACCATTTACCCAAGTGGCTTCTGCCTTCACATGTCACGCGTGGTGTCACATATTTAATGCAGTGTCTAACGAACGAGCTCTAAGTTATAGAATTTTGCGGTCATGTTCGGATGTCAGCGTTAGGTTGAGCTGAGTATAAAGAGCGGATTATGACGCTTCGGGGCAGGATAGTTTTACATGTGACCATTGACACGGGAGCTTTACGTGTCTCCACTGGCAGGCCACGGTGTTAACAAGATATTTTGTTTGCGGCAATAAGTGGCTGATACCTTTTGCATGACGTGCCCCGAGGGTTGGCTGTACATCGGGCAACCTTGTAACACGCTCGCGCCACAGAAATAGCGGCGAGACGTAAGCAAGACCCCGCTAGCTACTTCGCCTTGCTTCCGAGTTATTTTAGTCTACGCGTGATGCTGCGGAGGCTGTAGCCAAGGCGATGTCTTTGAAATGCTCCCCGTGGCAGGCGCTTACTTTTTGATGCATCATGCGAATGAAATGCGTAATACCATGAACATGTCTATACAGTCTATATTTATATATGTATATTATGTTCACGGTAGTATAAATCAACGTAGAGTGAATGAGATCGAGGTCAAATAAACTTCACTGGCAGTTTCGTATGCAAGTATTAATTATGTTGCTCTGATTTTGTGAAGCCAGTGTAGGAAGATTGCATTGTGATAAACCGGTGAGATATATGTTAGCTATAAGTATTCAAATCTCTCGTTGTGATTTAGAAAAAAGTAAAAGTACCGTACTTCCAAAAAAAATTCTTCGAAGCTCCCACCAAAAAACTCGGTGCGTATGTGATGCATACTGTCTTACTCCGTGTGAGTCCGCATCCGCTTTACAGCAATGTGAGTGTGAGTGTAAGCGAATCGACGTGATTCATATAGGAATACTGCTCAACTTTCGATGTTCTAAAAGTAGCCGCATATATACAGCCGGTGAATCGTACAGTGCTGCGCGTACTGGGGCCGGTCGTATCCTCCTTCTGTTTATTTTTCCCTACTTGCTAATAATAGATGCAGCTTGCCTCCTTCTATTCTAAATTACAGGACTCGTGTCCGAAGCATAGGTTGTGTATTTTCTAGGTTGTGATATTTTTTGAGTCATGCAGCTATTGGGGTATTGCTGCTATTATGGTTTGCTGGACACGTGGCCATTATACCCGGCTGTTGTTATCTTCAGTAGCTTTCGGTGGAAATTGCTTGTGCGGTTTCTTTGGTAATTGCTTGCATCCGAGTATTTTAAGGGACCATGTGCTTATAGTAGAGAGAGCCAGAGAGAGCGAGAGAGACAGAGAGAGGGAGGGGAGAAAGAGAGAGAGAGAGAGAGAGAGAGAGAGAGAGAGAGAGAGAGAGAGAGAGAGAGAGAGAGAG